GTGTCTCTTGTCCTTGACCCATCACATACTCTAATCTCCCTTCAGAAAAGATGTTTCTAATTTCAGATTCAAAAGGAAAGAGCCAAGTATCACTTAACACCAAAAGCACATTAGTAGCCAGGTATTTCTTTCTATTCTCAAGACTGACTTCAATCAAATCTTTTTCAACCCCTAAATCCACGGTTCTTCTTCCTAACCCTTCAGCTCCTTGATTTGTTCCACCACCATTGTCTTCCACTTTCCCTCATTGTCCCAACTAATTACAAGATCTTCTGCCACTTCCTCACCAGACCCCTTAGTTAGTGTTTGGAAACCCTTTCAATCCCCTACATTTAGGGGTGATCATGAAGCCTGGGCTGGATTTAGCACTACTTATAAGGACTTTAACCTAGGCTCAGGCTTGGCCCTACCCACACCCCAGGCCTAGATTGCAAGTCCAGGCCCAGTCCAGGCTTATAGGCTTTCTGAGCCTAATGAGCAATGACTTTAGGCCCATGACATCAAATAATTAAATTTAATGACTTTCTGAGCCTAATGATGCATGTAAAAAACAAAAATTACACAGGCCAAAGTTAAATTGGGCTTGGTTAAGCTTTAGGCCTATGGCACAAAAAATAAGGCATGGGCCTCATTTAATTGTTATGCTTGATTTGGCTTGGCTTACCTATCCTTTTATAGATGAAAGGCCTTCATTCCTATTCTTGAGCAATGTGGGACTTGGAACAACAATAAATAGTTAGTACAACCATTGACTATTTTTCCAAGTCCCACATTGCTCAGGGAATGAGAATGAAGGCTTTGCCTTCATCTATATAAGGCCTTGTTTAGGAGGACAATTCTCATACTTGAATTGGCTCAAGTGTGGACACATGTGTTGACATGCATCAATTCATAAATATTTATTTATATGTTAAAATGAAACTTAAAATTTTTATATTTTATAAAATATAATAAACATTTGATATAAAATAAATTATACTTGTGTATATAACTAACATATAAAATATAACACATATTATAATATGTATATTACATATATTATATAATTACAGAGTACAGTATTTATAGGCAGGAATGGGTTCCTTAAAGGAGCTACTACTTGGTACAATGGTAAAATTTCAGGGCAACAAACTTGAGAATGTGGGTTTGAGTATGAGAGCAGCCACTTTGTGCAAAATAAATGCTAAACATCGGGTAATGGCCCTTTATTTTTGGTTCCTTAGAGAGGAATAAAGCTCTACATTTCAAAGCAAGCTTCCTATATATACTCAATTCCTTTCTTGGGCCATGGCATTCAAGTCTTCAAACCATTGACACCACAGGACATCAAAATGGCTTTATATGGGTATAAGTCTATGGCTAAGACCTAAGGTGACCGAACTGACTGACTACATAACATAATGAAGCTAACCTTCTAGGGATGGAAATTTCTGACACAACCCACTGACGCATAAGTTATAATCCGCATACTTACTTGGTTGCCTCTGACTTGACAACCCATTTAGGGGGGTTTAGTTGAGTGGCTATGTGGTTGGTGATGGGTACCCATTGGGTGCATTATACAATGTCCCAACTCCCAAATCCCATCCCCCCCCACCACCCACATGATTTGAAGACTTGCTGACTCAACCTGCCCTAATGAAGATGAAGATGGCAGAACAGGACCAAATGAAGACTTGCTGACTCAGTGCCTCTGGCATACACCTCAGGGCGTTTTGGGAGCGCCTCACCTGGAGGCACGCCTCCAGGCATATGCCTCCCACGCCTTTTAAAACACCGATGGTGATGATTTACCAATGTCTCCTTTTTGGCTCTTCAAGGGGTTCATAGAGCCTACTCACTGATGCCTCCCCCCCCCCCAAAAAAAATAAATAAATAAATAAAAGTATTTTGTGGAGATTACCAAAGGAATAGTATTATCAACAGCTTGGGAAGAAAAGACCAAAATTTTCAAGGAAGAAACCCACACCAAAAAAGCTATGGTTGAGCACATTATGATTAGGGTGACTCATTGGCTAAAAACATTGAAGCTGTCCAGTCCTTTTTCTATGGATGATATGGTTAGGGGATGGTAATGGGTGGCAACATCCTCATCTACAAGAAGAAGAGTGGCAATCCAATAGACTCCAACTATAAATGCCATAAAAATAATTTTTTTATCAATAACAACCTTTTATTAAACTTTCAAAATAGAAAGAAGTACAAAGGGAGGGGTAAACTCTCTTAACCCTCTCCAAAGAAAAATAATTCAATTACAGAATGGCCCAAAACAGTTGTTCCCTTCCCACCCCTTGTTTAGCAAGGGTATCTGTAAAAGAATTAGCACACCTCTTTACCCACTGAAACTGAATCTCCACACCTTGTGCTAGCTGGTTGAACATTCTTTTTTCATTAGAAAACTTCCAAAGACATTTCTTTTCTTCTTGCAGCCATCCGATAACCAACTTTGAATCCCCTTCAATAATGAGTTTGTTGCACAGCGACTCCCTCGCCTTCTTCATTCCTTCCAATCACAACTAGAATCTCAGCTCATAGAGAATCACCCACCAATAGGGCCAGAAGATAGAGCAAGGACTTTCCCATCTTAATCCCTAAAGGTTCCTCCAATTCCAAAAGGCCCCGGACTACCTTCACTACTCCCATCAAAGTTCATCTTAGTAAAGCCAGAGGTCGGGGGAGACCAAATGGGGCTTATCTTGGTTTTAGCTGCTGAGTTGGCCACTTCCTTCCAATTTCTTCTCATCATATCTGTGGAGATATTGTCAAACATATTTAGAGATTTCACCCAATGCATCACTCTAATAGTAATTGTTTCAATAATGACCTTATTCTCTCCTTTTCATTAAAGATCCTTGAGTTTCTTTCCTCCTACATTGTCCAACATATGGCAGCTCTAACACATCTCCATAGAAGTCTACCCCTCTTCTTTGGCCACCTGAAAAAGGAAGAGGTGAACAAGCTTTGTACATCTAGCAGGGGCGTCCATCTGCAACCACATAAAGAGAAAACCCATTCCCAAATATATGAAACAAGTGAACAAGATATTAGTAAGTGATAAAAACTCTCACCATTTTGCCTTAAAAAGGATGCACCAATTAGGGGGTAGGCACCAATTAGGTCTTTTTCTCTGGAGCAAGTCACAAGTGTTAGATCTTCCCAGACAAGCTTCCCAACAAAAAGCACCAATCCTTGGGGGAATCGGTTTGCCCCAAACTTCCTAAAGTGGAAAAACTATGCTGGAGCTATCTGATGGTTGTGTTAAGGCCTTAAAAAGAAGATACAAGAAAACTCACCATCAAGGGTCAGAGTCTAAAGTCTACTATCCCTTCTACCTGGGTCCAAAACCACACCACCCAAGGTCTGAATTAAGGCTGGAACATGGTTGACTTCAGCATCCCTAAGGCCCCTTCTCAGACACAAATCCCAATCAAAGCCAAGGAATGAGTTTGAGGGTACCATAAAGGTTGACACAGGCTCATTTTTAAACATAGAGATAGAATACAAGGAGGGTAATTATTCATTCAAGGTCACATCTCCCACCCAAGAATGTTCCCAGAACTTTACCCGGTTTCCAGGCCATAAAAATAATTATATAGGAGAATTAAGGATTGCTGGATTGGTAGTGTTTTTAGGGATCATTTTGGGAATATCTTGGTGGGTTATTCAAGACATATATATATATATATATGTCCATGTGTGTGTATAAACACATATTTTATCAAATAAATAATGTATAATCATATTCTACATGTAATATATGTATTATTTCATATTTAATTTATATTTATTTTTTAATTCAGTTTTTAATTTTTTATTTGTAAAAAATATGAAAATTTGCAATTTGAGGCCAAAAAAGGAGATTTCACGAAAATAGTGAGGCAAGGCACCTACAGTGCCTTGGGAAACATAGATCTCTCCAAGTTACCCAAGATCCCAAAAAAAGAAAAAAGAATCGGACGTTAGAGCTCAAAGTTATGGCCTCCGGAAATTAGCATACACATTTAGTGTGCAACTCGTCACTAGGTTGAACGGGTCAACAGTCCAACCACCTAGGTTGGATATTTTTTACCAGGTCAATGGTTTTTTTACAAATTCTCGGGTTTTAGTAGAACCGGACCTAGAATCATGGTAGGGCGATGGTTCAAACAGTTCAACCGATCAGGTCAACAAGAAGTTTAAAACAGTGACATGCATCGAAAGATACAGTCCAATGTGTATCCGTTTTGAGGTTTACTAGCACATAGCACAAGTGGAATTGCCTTGTTTCGATGTCATTCTACCGGTATCCATGGGTATTGGCTGATTCGCAACAACAACAACTATGTATCCATTCCGTCCATATCAATTGATATTCACTGCTAGAAACCAAGACTCAATGGTTAAAAAGGAATATTTAACCATTATAAACCATTACAAACCCATATAGAACTGTTAGAAACCCATTAAAAGTTGAAGAGGCTGGCGGAGCTAGAGGTACACCAAAAAGGACGCAGGTTAAGGTAGTGAGAACTGATTTAAGGGTACACAATTTAACAATGAATATGGCACCAAACAGAATGAGATGGCAAAACAGGATTCATGTAGTCACCCCATGTAGTGAGAACTGAGCCTCAATCCCCCTGAACCTAATCCCTCTTCATCCTTGTCACTTATAAGTCATGGTTAGGTCTTGAGCTAGACCTTATTCAACATTGGCCTTAGTCAAAAGTTGCACCAAGCTAACCATGGCAAAGTCTAGAGAGTAGAGAGGGCCATCCCCTTTGACAGCCTTCCAACATGAAACAGGCTTACTATCCAACAATACTACTAGTCTACTACCAATAGAGGATCAAGGTCAAGCTTAATTTTCTTGGTGAATAGTGAAAATGGAAATATCTAAAAGATAGATAAATGGAGAAGAGAATTCTAAGAAGGAAGTAAACAGACAAATGATTATATCTATAAAAGCAAGCAAAGCCACATAGTTACTGAACCCATTTAGAAGATTAAATAGAACATACCTGTCCATAACAAGACGAACAATATATTCCTTGGGCATATTTGGTAGTTGTCTAGCAAAGATATTCTTCAATCCTATCAACCTAAGGCAAGAGAAAGTCAGAAAGAATGCATAAGTCAAACTGCTAAGAAATGCCCTGTTGCCGTGATGCAGCAGATTAAATTTTATCTGCAGTCCCTACTCCCTAGTTAATCTATTTCATTTATTTATTTTATTGTTACCCTTTTACTGTCAGGTTCTATTATGTTATATTGTTCATATGAAGTATAGGGTGGGAGGGCAATTTGATCATTGTGCCACACTTTTAAACCTAGTATAAAATCTAATGATTGAGCGGCAGATTTATTCTTTTCTGCTCCCCTTCTCTAATTCTCTGTTCTCTCCCCTTTGCTTACTGCTTTGTTCCTCTCTTTTCTACTTTCTTTTCAGTTTTTCTTTTATTCTTTTTTATTGGAAACGGTAACTTCATTAATACAACTTAAGTACTACTTTCCAGAATTAAGTACAACTGTCAACCCCTAAACAGGTGTTAAGTCCCCAGTAATCTTTCTTACAAAACTGCCCAAAACATTCTCTCCCTCACAGTCCCTTGCATAGCCAACGTATCAGCTAAACCATTGGCTGATCTCCTTGTCCATTTGAAGCATGCACCAATCTCCCTTGTTGTATTAAGGATTTCCCTTATGCGCTGTCTATAAATCCAGGCTCCCAACTTACCAGATTGCAGCCAATCAATCAACAATTTAGAGTCCCCCTCTATCTCAATTTGGTGTAACCCCAATTGTTTTGCATATCGTACACCTTGAAGCAAGGCTATCACCTCCGCTCTCAATGAGTCCCCCACTCCTATTGGCCCTGAAAACATAACCACAACTCTGCTGTTTTCATCTCTGAATACTCCCCCTATACCTGAAGGGCCCAAGTTACCTCTAGAACTCCCGTCGAAGTTCAGTTTCACTCTTTGTTGTGTTGGTGGGGACCACAATTCCTGCACAGTAGGTTTTATGGAAGTTGTAGATGCCACCACTCCCTAATTCCTATAAACATCTTCACCTAAGAAGTCTTTAAACAAATCCAAAGTTTTCAACCATTGAATAGTCATAATGGTTATTCTTTCTGCAATTTCCTCCTTGGATTTCTCCACTCCTTTAAAGATCCTATTGTTCCTTTCTTCCCAAACTGGCCATAAGATAGCTACTCTTGTGGCTTTCAGCTCTCCACATTAATATTCAACGTCTCTTCGGTTGCCTGAAAAAGCTTGGTCAAAAAGGCTTGCCATGTCTGGGGGAGGTCTTTTATTCTTTTAATCTGAAATAAAGAATTACTGGTTAACTGATTCATTCTTTTCTGCTCCCTTTTTCTAATTCTCTGTTCTGCCTCCTTATCTTACTGTTATGTTCCTCTCTTGTTTACTTTATTTTCAGTTTTTCTTCTAAACTTTTAATCTGAAATGAAGAATTACTGGGTAACTGTTTGACAAGTTAAATAATAAAAACTAGAAAAAGCATTACTATTACTTTGTTAAACTGAAAGAAAATAACAAATTATGATATTAAATTTACATATATGATCTTTAAAGAGGAAAAAATGAATACCAAACCATATGTTGATCAACTCCATCATTGCTCAGGCACACAAACTTGAGTCGTCCCGCTTCTTCCTGAGAAGAATTGCAAATAGTTAACATTATGATAAAAATTCAATTATAACACTTATTAAAATAATATCTCAACTATAACATAATTCATATCTTTTTCTATCAATAATTCAGGAAATCAATTTCATTAGAATTATAACATAATTCATATCTTAGCAACTTCTCATTTGATGGGTAACTGGTAATGATGAGTATTTCATTAATAAGAATAAAATAAAAGTGCAAAAAACTTACAAAATGGAAGACCAAAAGTATGAAATATAAATCAGATAAAAAATACAATATTACCAACCCCATACAACTTAAAACCAAAAATAGGAAAAAGCATCACTGTCTCACAAATTCGCCCATTAATTCTTGATATCCGTAGGGCTCATATCTATAACATAGTTGTCAAGGTAATCCCTAGGCAGGCACCTAAACCATGCCTGGGCATGAAGGCATTTTTCAGGGATCACTTTGTCCCTCGCCTCAATTTTTCCATGTGTAAAGTGTAATAATTTTAGGTGCAGTACAGCTAAATCATATCATTTTGTATAAATAAGGTGAGTATAAAAAGGCATCATAAAAGACCAAACCTGAACTTAAAGAGCTATACAATGGGCTTTGCCATTTCCTTTGCTCCTTTTAAATACTCTGTAATCACTTCTCTCAACCTTTCCAATTGTGACCAGACTACATCCTCTACTCTTTCAATTTTTTCCTTTCTCTACAACTCACATCCAAGGTTCAAAGTATCGGAAACGCAAGGTGTATCGGAAAGACAATTTTAAGAGACGTATCGGGATACATTTTGGATACGCATGGATATAGACGAAAAATCAAGATACACATAAATATGTTAGGAAATTCAAATAAATCATAAAAAAATTATATTATTAACAATACTTACAAGTTTATATGATTGTAAATAAGTCATTTAAATGTAAAAAACCATAATTTAAGGTTCATATAAAATGTGACATATCGAGATATAATTAGTAACCACTGAAAAATGATGGAATAACTAAAATGTGAAAAAAGCAACAAAAAAAAACTAAAATGTGAATGTATATACATCAATTTTCAAATAACCAGTATAATTATCTTAATATTTATTAGTATATAAATTTTAATAATTAATTTCAGCATTTATTAATAAGGACCACTAAGAAAAGAGAAAATTGATTTAAAACTAAAAATGCATATAATTACAACAAACAAATCGGAGTGGTTTAGTGGCGAAATTATGGGCATTAAACTCCAATGACCAGGGTTCAAGTCTTTCTATTGTTAATATTTGTAGTTTTTACACTAACCAAACGAAATTAATGAGAGAGAGAATCATTAATTAATAGAATTAATGAGAGAATTGTAATTAGGCGCTAAAATTCAAATTTAAATTTAAATTTGCCTTAAAGGAGTAATTAACTAATTAATGAAGAAGTTAGACTTAAATATAGGAGGCAATAAACGACATTAATGAGAGAGGTTCGGTATTAAATATAAATTAATGAAATTAATGGAACAAGGGGAACCAATACGATTCAGTTTGTACTGGCCTGTTTTGGGCTTGTATCGACCAATACAGATCCGAAACAGCCCGATACGGGCCCATATCGTCCGATACATACGAAAAGAAACTGAACACATGATTTTTACACGTTCCGTGTATCGGACCTATCGGTTTCTTATCGGAACGGTATGTGTCGGCCGATATGGCCCAATACATTGTGATATTTTTAAACCTTGCTCACATCTACTCTTTCAAAATAACAAGGGCCCCATCCCTTCATTTATTTGTTTTCTTCTATCCTTTTTATTTAACACACACATAGAGTAGAGATCCATCAACTAGTTATTCCTAGGCAATATAGCATTGTTTTAATTCTACTTAGTTTCAGTGTTTGATTCTTGTATGACTGTGAGGTCACTTTAAATGTTTTCTACCTGCTACACCAGCTAGGGAAACAAGCTAACAACACCCAGATTTTTTTATATGCAGGCACCTAGTTGTGGCCAGGTGATCCACTGCTCACCAGCCTCAACTTTGTGACCGACAATACTAAGGACCAAAACCCAGTCCAAAATGGCAATGGAATATCCCTAAATATTCTTGGAAGTGCCCTGGAATTGTTATAAAAATTATTCTCTCTCCTTCAAAACGACTCCAGTATTACAGAGAAAGGGTAACAATCCAAAGGGTTTAAAGAAGAAAGGTTTAAGCAAGTAATGACAAAGAACTAAAGAAGAAATTCAAGTTGCAAAACGGGACTGACAATGTTTAATAGACCAACTTCTGGGCAGATTTTGCATAACTTAATTTCTGTTGATCCAACAGCCACATTGAGCTGAAATTTGGATGTATATTGAAGCTAAGTAGTAAGGGAGACCCTCCAATGAAATGCATAAAGTTATTTATCAAAAAAAAAAGATAGGAGCATAGTTGTCAAGGTGACACCTGGGTGACAAGGCGCCCTTTGAGGCTCGCCTCGCCTAATCGCCAAACAGTTTTGTACTATGTATTATAAAATACTTTTTTATTCTTTATTTTTTGACATTATAATTATAAAATAGGCACTATTAAACTAAAATATTCATTTTGTGTGTTTATATACTAATTTCTTTTTATTATTTTCTTATTTGTTAGGGTTTAATCAATATAAACATTGCTAAATGCTGTATTGAACCTCCAAAGACTTTAAAACCTGAACCAATAAGTAAGGAAGAACTTAAAATTTTGTCTAATCAACACATTTTCTTTTCTTCTGATGAATATGTTGATTTTCTATACTTTAACATGAACTCTATACTTTTCTTATGAAAATTATGAATAATTCTTAAGGAAATATGGTTATAGTACCTAGGGAACTACCATGTTTTCTACATAAAAAAATCCATCGCCTAGGCGACTAGGCTACAAGGCACCCCCTTGTCACCTAGCCTCACCTTGGCACCTTGAAAACTATGGATAGGAGGTCATCATGGGCCAAGTCGGGCTGGGCTAAGGTGTTTTCTCTATTTGGTTGTAGGTAGGAGACTCCTGATAGTGTAGAACAGGTATTCCAAGACTACTTCAATCCAATCAAAAAAAGAGGTAACGTACTGTGGAGGTGTGCTAGCACTGCACCCTGTAGTGTCATGGGAGGAAAAGAATGCAATGATCTTCAAGGAATAAGCTCGCACCAAGAAAGCAATTATTGAGAATATTATGGTTAAGGTGGCTCACCACATAAAGGTTCTACCCATGTTTGCACATTTCCCTACAGAAGATATCTTGGGAGGTGGCTTCACATTGCTAACTCCACTTCATCATGCTCAACTATCTCTTGCACTTAGTCACCCCCATTGCAGCAGCCCATCAAGTTGAACTTTGATGGAAACAGTGTTTGGAACCCAAAAGTATCAGGTATTGAAGGAGTATTCCAGAATAGCAGCAGGCTGATCCTAGCACTCCACTCAGGACCTATATAGGACAAGCTGACAAGGAGACTAAACAAAGATAATAACTACTCTAACTGTACCAAGGGGTCAAATAGGGAGGCTATTGAATTTCAAGGATATATGTGTGGTCCTTGACAGTTTAGACATATTCTAAGGGTAGTGTGGCAACTGGCAAGAGAATTGAGAGCTCAATTTAGATGGACTCAGATCTGCAAATTGTTTTGCAGATGTCTTGGCCAAACGAGGAGTAGCAAGAGATAGGCAACAGTGGGGGGAGTGGGGAAATTTAGAGACCCAAACCCATGATTGTAAACTTAATGGAAACATGGGACAAAGCAGCAAGGCTGCCTAGGGACCTTTGGATGCAAAGTTATCAATCAAAAAAATCCTTGCTTTCTTGAGAAATGGCATAATCATCTTTTCTCATCGAATACCAATCAAATGCAACATATGAACATATGTAAAAACTAAAGAAAAGAATTTCCAACTTCCAGAAAGGGAAAAAACTATCCATTAGATGAGGTACGATGGCTTAGATTTGGGAGTCAACAATGTTATTCCATCGCAGCCTTGCAATTCAGATTCAGGACCATTTCCTTGAGTTTTTTGAGATATGATGTTAGTGCACTTGTTACATATCAGACATCCTTTGCTTTCTCGGGACATGGCATAACCACCCCTTTAGAATTTTAGACTCAGGGAGGAGGAAGGGGGGAAGATTACATAGAGAGTTTTCCTTCATCTTGTTCTTAGATGAGCTTGAAAGGAAGAAATGCCAGAACACTTCAGGAAAATGAAAGGGCATGCCAGAGCTTGGAAGATACATCATTCACTAGGTGTAGACATTTGATATCTTTAGGAGCATTATGGCATATATGCATTATAGTTGAGGCAGTGCTTAGAGAGTGGAATGCTGTGCTGAGATCTACCCCTCACAGACTTAAGATAGAGGAGTATGCATAACCCCCTCTAAATACACTATCTAGCTGATTTTTATAAATATTCAATGGGGAACTCTGGTCCTTCAGGCATTATCAGAATTGGAGATGGAGGAATATGTATAAAACCCCTTTAGATACACCATCTAGCTGAATTTTGATAAATATTCAATGGAAAACTCTGGTCCTTGGGGCATATTCAGAATTAACAATAACAATGATCGTCATGTAGTCCAACCCAATCGGATTTTTTTTGATGAATAATGAGTGAATTTATTAATAGATTAAAAGCATAAAAGATGCATAGAGAAAATTCCCAATATGAGGCACAAGATGCAGCCTCAGATTAAAGCAAAAATTACAGTTTAGCCCAAAACATCTGATTCCTATGCACCCCTTGTTTAGCTAATGAATCTGCTAACCCATTTGCTGATCTTCTTTCCCATTGTAATTGGACTGGCATGTTTGTAGTTAGCCATTTGAATCTTCGTAAAGCTCCTTTATAGGACCAGGCTGTTGTTTCTGGTTCTTTTAACCACTGGATCACCAACTTGGAATCATCTTCAATTAACACTGTTCACAGTTCAGTTCCTTGGCAAATTCAGCTCCTTGTAGCACTGCTTGAATTTCTGCATTGACTGA